GTACTCCTGTGGTCGGTGTTGGTAGTAGTGAGTGTCGCGGGGTCAGGGCTATGTCAGAGCGGGGCGTGTGCCGACTGCCCATTATCCCCACACGTGCGAGGTTCTGCGCCTCTAGGCGTGGGTCGCCGGACCTGGCTATAGCCACAGTCCCGGACCCTGGAACCCCGTGGTACTCCTGTGGTCGGTGTTGGTAGTAGTGAGTGTCGCGGGGTCAGGGCTATGTCAGAGCGGGGCGTGTGCCGACTGTCCATTATCCCCACACGTGCGAGGTTCTGCGCCTCTAGGCGTGGGTCGCCGGACCTGGCTATAGCCACAGTCCCGTACCCTGGAACCTCGTGGTACTCCTGTGGTTGGTGTTGGTAGTAGTGAGTGTCAGGGTCAGGGGTCAGGGCTATGTCAGAGCGGGGCGTGTGCCGACTGCCCATTATCCCCACACGTGCGAGGTTCTGCGCCTCTAGGCGTGGGTCGCCGGACCTGGCTATAGCCACAGTCCCGGACCCTGGAACCCCGTGGTAATCCTGTGGTCGGTGTTGGTAGTAGTGAGTGTCGTGAGGTCAGGGCTATGTCAGAGCGGGGCGTGTGCCGACTGCCCATTATCCCCACACGTGCGAGGTTCTGCGCCTCTAGGCGTGGGTCGCCGGACCTGGCTATAGCCACAGTCCCGGACCCTGGAACCCCGTGGTACTCCTGTGGTCGGTGTTGGTAGTAGTGAGTGTCGCGGGGTCAGGGCTATGTCAGAGCGGGGCGTGTGCCGACTGCCCATTATCCCCACACGTGCGAGGTTCTGCGCCTCTAGGCGTGGGTCGCCGGACATGGCTATAGCCACAGTCCCGGACCCTGGAACCCCGTGGTACTCCTGTGGTCGGTGTTGGTAGTAGTGAGTGTCGCGGGGTCAGGGCTATGTCAGAGCGGGGCGTGTGCCGACTGCCCATTATCCCCACACGTGCGAGGTTCTGCGCCTCTAGGCGTGGGTCGCCGGACCTGGCTATAGCCACAGTCCTGGACCCTGGAACCCCGTGGTACTCCTGTGGTCGGTGTTGGTAGTAGTGAGTGTCGCGGGGTCAGGGCTATGTCAGAGCGGGGCGTGTGCCGACTGCCCATTATCCCCACACGTGCGAGGTTCTGCGCCTCTAGGCGTGGGTCGCCGGACATGGCTATAGCCACAGTCCCGGACCCTGGACTTGGCTATGGCTATAGCACTAGACCTTGGACCTGGTTGTAGCCACAGCATTGGACCCTGGACCTTGTGTGTGTACAGCATTTGTAAATAAGTCAGCGAGGCGATTCAAAGGGGGCGTTGGATTATAGAACAGCGGAACCTCAATAACAAGACCCTCGATAACAGGTGGCCCTGAATTACAAGTGTTATTTTCTAATACTCTTGTTTTTTATTGCTCTTAAATTAATTATCGTCCTGTAATCCAGCTACACTAGGAGGTAACGAATTGTGGATATTTATAGGCATGCACTGTGGGTGCGATACTCCCTGGTGTGGATTAACGTCCGCACGAGTGCGTACTACGACTATCCACAGTACTATCCTGAAAATTAGACCAATTCGCATACCAAGGCAAAAATGTGGTTCGAATTCCACTATAAACTGTAGGTCCCTTAGTTGCCATTAGCTGTATGGGCTATTAATTAAGGTGGTTTTAGGGAAAGCGATTCCACCCCCCCCCCCCTCTCCCATAACTTTGAAACAACAGCCGACAGCTGATATTATACAGGGTGTCCCGTAAGTAAAGAACAAAAATGTATAAGCATAGAACCAATGGGGCAGAATAAACCCCAAAAATCCAAAATAGCAGATATCTCACTACCAAGGCATTTTTGGAAAACATGTTATTCTTGATTTTCGTTTTATTTTGACCCATTAAACCTATTCCTGAATTTTCTTGTACCTAAAGGACACCCTGTAGATTAAGCTAAGCAAGCAGTGGGTGAACAAAGAAAGCTTCATCCTAAACCGCTTACATTTTGTGAACGGACTATAGTGCAGCTTTTTTAACAATCCTAGACTACTACACGGTGTTTGTCATGTAAAGGTTATGTACGTGGTAGAGGTAGGTCATGGGTACCCTACGTCCGTTCGACCGTTCACCGCCATTGTGACCATGTTATTGTTTACATTGAGTTGTGGCGACCTAAATAGATAACGCCAACACCTTTACATATTGTTTACGGGAATTCAGTGCGAGAGTATGAAATGTTTGCTACGATTTCATAAGATGAGTGGAACTCCAGATTTGGTTTCGACGAGTTTCTGAAGTAAGTTAAGTTTATACGTTTGCAGATGACGTCACTTTTGTCCATAGATTTTCCGTCCAATTGTAAAACCAGAAGGTTTTTTTGGTGTGCCTTTTAAAGTAATTTTTTCAGTAATTTACTCCTATACAACCAAAAAGTCTAATCTATGGTATTTATATTCATAAAATGTCGGTTACAATACTGTATGAAGTAAATTGTTTCTGAGGTTCAGCTGTAATCTTTCTTCGTTGATTGATTTTTAAGTTAGGCCTTTCTTTGAAAATACACCTTCGAAGCTCAAACCCTCGTTGTAAGTTTTTAATATTTTTAAAACTTTACCATCGTTAATTGTTTAATTAATACCTTGTATCCTTTTCGATTGGTTTATTTTTTCTTTGATAATACTGTACATGCTTAGGCCTAGACACTTTTTGTTTATCATCAGATAAAATGTGTAGTATCCCACCTAAGACCTTGTTTTGATTGATTTGCTTATGAACTTGTCTTAGGTATAATTGTATGTTTTGTATTGGTGTTATTGTTTTAAAATGTGTGCAAGTTGAACAACTTTGATGTCACCAACCCCTTTTGGGTAAAATACGAAAAACACTAAACAAAGTCTGCAAGAAAACATTGTTTGTTACTGCTTCTTTGTATTATGCTCTATTTTCACTTAGCATGAAATAACGTGTTGAACACTTTTTAGCAAGTTGCTATAAACAGCTGTTCGATGACGATGAATCACAGACCAATCAGAAGGATCTGAGCGTCTCCGTTCACTTCTCAAACTGTTGCGTCTTCATCAGATGGATTAGGATATTGCACCCGAGATCTAAGTAGTGATGATGATAACCGGTAACTCCACTTTCACTGGTTATGTTGTACCGGGGACACTGGCGGAACCATGTGCCGCTGGTGCCGGTACTGCGGGATAACGGTGCTGACCCGCTCCAGCTGCAACTAGACTGCTTGCCGGGACAAAGGCACTTCGTAGCGTTTCATTATTGCAACTGTACTGCACTCGTGCAAGCATCCGTGGTTCTTACTTAATACGATTCACTTAACTTCTGAAGGTCCACTGCAATGGTTGTAGGATTTACGTCATGTCTGTTGGTGCACCTGGATTATGCAAGGGTTGACGTTATTGTATGTTGGCGCCCCTGGATTATGCGAGGGTTGACGTTGTTGTATGTTGGTGCACCTGGATCATGCAAGGGTAGACATTGTCTGTTGGGGTACCTGGATTATGCGAGGGTTGACGTTGTTGTATGTTGGTGCACCTGGATTATGCATAGGTTGATGTATGTTGGTGCACCTGGATTATGCATAGGTTGATGTATGTTGGTGCACTTAGATTATGCATGGGTTGATGTTGTTGTCAATTGGTGCACCTGGATTATGCATAGGTTGATGTATGTTGGTGCACCTAGATTATGCATAGGTTGATGTCGTATTTTGGTGCACCTGGATTATGCATAGGTTGATGTTGTTGTATGTTGGTGCACCTGGATTATACAAGGGTTGACAGTTGTATGTTGGTGCACCTGAATCATGCAAGGGTTGAAGTTGTATGTTGGTGCACCTGGATTATGCATAGGTTGATGTTGTTGTATGTTGGTGCACCTGGATTATACAAGGGTTGACAGTTGTATGTTGGTGCACCTGAATCATGCAAGGGTTGAAGTTGTATGTTGGTGCACCTGGATTATACAAGGGTTGAAGTTGTATGTTGGTGCACCTGGATTATACAAGGGTTGAAGTTGTATGTTGGTGCACCTGAATCATGCAAGGGTAGACATTGTATGTTGGTGCACCTGGATTATGCAAGGGTTGAAGTTGTATGTTGGTGCACCTGAATCATGCAAGGGTAGACATTGTATGTTGGTGCACCTGAATCATGCAAGGGTTGAAGTTGTATGTTTGTGCACCTGAATTATGCATGGGTTGATATTGTTGTTTATTGGTGGACACCTAGATTACGCATGGGTTGACGTTGCCTGTTGTGCAGCTAGATTTTGCCAGGATTGGTGTTATTTGGGGTGGTTCACTGTGATTATTAAAGGTTTTAAAGTGCACCTGGGTTATGTAAGAGTTGGCAATATTCCTGTTAAACACTCGGGTCGGGATAATGCAAGAGTTAGGTTTTATTTCTATTAGTCCACTGGGATCATGCTAAAGTTGTCGTTATATCTGTTGATCAGTTGGAATTATGCAAAGGTTGGTATTTCTGATTCGGGTCTATAGGAATTATGAGAGGGGTTGTAGAAGGGTTGGCAATCGTAATTCGTAATGCTTTTTGGTTACCTAGATAGATGATATAATAATATTGTAATCATTTTCTTGTGTTTTGAAAAATGTTAAACTTGAAGTGCCAATTTTAACATTGAATAATCGTGATTTTTTTACAGGTATTTAAAGATTTACAACTCTATGAAACCTAAGATCTTACCTTTTTGGTTACACATTGTTCAAAATTTGTTAAACTTTAGTTGCATTTAGTTAAAAAAAAACTTGGTAAATGTGTTTTTGTGAGAAATCTATAGTAAGTTGATAGCGAAAAAATATCATGATTTTTTTTTTTTTTACTACATTATTTATGCTAAGACAATAATTAATGACTGGATGACATGTTTTGTGAAGCTTAAAATTGTAGTGTATGGTAACCACCCGAAAGTTGTTTGCTAACTATAAATTGTGTATCAAGTGGAAGAATAGAAACGTACCAAGTAATTAATAAAAAAATATTTTTTCAGGAGACTGAAATTGGAACTACAGGCTGCGAAACAGAAAGGAGCGATCAAGAGTGGCGAGGGAGCGAGTAGCGCACGGGCGTGCGCGAGGTGCCGCGCAGAGCTCGGTCGTATCATCAACAGAGGAGCGTTCTGTCGGTGGTGCAGACACAGGGTGTGCAAGAACTGTCGGGAGTACACGACCAATCAGACGTCCGACTGGCTGTGTACAGTCTGCTTCAAACACATGTCAGTAACACAGGGTTTTCAGATTTAAATAGTTTAGGTCTTCAAACCCTAAAGGAATCAGCTATCAAGAGTAAGGTAACCAAAACTTTATCTCTATGCAAGTGTAAGTGAATGCAACTTGGTTGTTAGCTGTACCTGATAAAGGCTACCTCTTGGGAATCAAGGAATACCTATTCTCAAGCTTATTGTTTATCAGAACTGTACGCCATTACCAATTGGTATGATCAATGGCTGGTCAATCTAATTTCTTGTTTCATCCCCAGAAGGGACAGCCTTGTAGTTCAAGGGCTTTATTTTAATATTGGTATAGTTTATCGAATTTTACCTATAGGGAAGAAGCTATTACCTTAGGTGGCAAGTTAAGACCTAGACCCAAAACTGATTTAATTTTTCATTTTAATATCCCCACATCGTTATTGTCTCCCGCGGTCATGGCAAAGCCCTGAATAACCCCCGCGGTAACGCAACATCATCGTCTTCCGCGATTCCTGAGGGGGAGCGGTTGTCCCCTTCGCCCCCTCTAGGTCCGCCACTGTCCCCACTCCCCAGAAGCCCAAAAAACAATTTGTTCAAATGTTTATATGTTGTGGCACTCAGCATCCATTGGTAATTGACAGGGTTTGAACCCAAGACCTCGGGGACCAATTTCACACAATCTACCATCAAACTAGTGCGCTCTCATATCTATTAGAAATGCATAGCTTTATAAACATAATTAGCTATTGGTTATTTATTTAATAAATTTAACAACTTGGAGATGTTAACTGAGGATGATTCTTGCAGGGAGCTGACAGCTGCGTCCGGGGAGTGGATGAACCAGTTTGTGCGGCGGCCGAGCAAGAGGCGAGACAACCGCATCAATGCTGTGGAGACGGTCAAGCGTAGCCTACAGCGCTCTTGGACTTTCTCAGGTAACTGATATTGGTCTAGACTTTCATACATATGAACTCTCACAGTTTTAAGAGAAATCATCATAGTCTCAATTTGGCGTGATTTGGACCGCAAGGGCGCCGAGTTTGAGATATGATGGGTCATGGGGGTGCCTCAGGGATCTTAGGACCGTTATTGTTTTTGATGTACATTAATGATCTACCTAAGAATGTTAATCCTAGTTTGTTGTTATATGCTGACGATACGACAGCCATCATTAAATCTTTGATCAGAGGAAGATGCATAAACTATCGGTCTTGAGTTGATGACAGCTTCTATTTCAATCATCACAGTGTCGAGTTGGGAATTACTCTAGAGTGACTGTACCAATACTATTTCTTTGACACCTCTTTAACCAAGATATCAACCTCTCGCACATTCCTCCTATCCAAGGTGCAAGTTCTCATATGTAAGTAATTTCAATATGATTTTCACTTACATAAGATAGTAGTTCTGGTACATCGAGATGTTCAACAAACATATCATTTAAGAATGAGGAAGCCTTTTTAAACTGAGTTGCGTTGTCCATGTAACCTTCTTCGGAGCGCCCCTTCTTCCCACAAACCTCCTGAGAGACACAGTAAAACTAGTTATTGGAGATCTCTAAATAAACAGCTCGTGTGACTAAACAGGTGAATACACAACTGTAAACTTTCAAAACAATTATAGAATCTCACATTTTTACATAAAGCACAGTGTAGTAGTCCTGTAAATTGAGAAAGGTATACTTTCAATCACCTTTGCAAGGCTAAGAAACTGAATAACAACTATTCTCAAATTTATCAGTTTTATTAAACTTATTCAATGCAATATCATCATCTTTCACGTGTGGGTCATCTTTAATACCAACAGTCTCCAACTGCCATAAGTTTTTTAAGTTGTCACCTCTACAAATATTGATATCATACTATTAAGTTTTTGGAGAGATATAGGTGGAGCTATAGGAGAGCAATAGGTTGTTGAGTTTTACTAGTGTGAGAAAATGACACATTACATGTACATGTACATTAGAGAGAAATTTTCATCATTAACGTAAGGCCCAGTTACGATCCAACCAGTTTTCCTATTCACTTAGTATAATTGTGGTGAAGTTTCTATCTTCTGACATTATCTTCTAAATAATGTCAAAATAGTAATCGTTCCCTATTATTAGATTAATGTTTTGTGAAGTAAACTGGCCGTCTGATAACTTAAATTTTGAATAGGAAGAAGCAATTGTATTGAAGTTTATATTGGTACTAGAAACTACCTCCCCAGTGATATGAGTAACAAAGTTTCCTGTTCGTTAACTGTAATCAAGCATCTGTTACTTGAGTCTCAACCGTTTTGGATTCACGATTGCCGACCGTAAGTAAAGAAAATGTTTGGCAGTATTTACCCTTCAAACTCAGTTTAGAAGCCGTTGGACGCATAAGATCTTTGACTGTCGCTGTCAAAAAGTACACCACAATGCGTTTCTTGGTTGGTAACAGCATTACGCAAAGTAATAGTTGCAGTTTGAAGAATAACACTCTCCGATATGAAAATTAAAGAAGCCTTTCCTGCATTTACAGATCCCATGAGTGTTAAAGTTAATTGTGGGCAATCACTAGAAATTTGGTCTGTTGGAAACTGTTTGGTACATAAACTTCTATGATTGTTACTCTGCTGTTAACAGTAAACACACATTTTATGTAATTTACAGAAGTTCACAGTGTGTCCCTTACTTAAACATACACAGCACCTACCTGGAATTGCTTTCTTACAATTTATATTTTGTACATTCCAGTGTTTGACTTCACAAAAAATACAAGTTATTTTATTGTTTCCCACGAGAGAGTGGGTATATGTTTGTGTCCACCGGTGTGTATACATTGGGAGCAGTATAAGAATTATTAGAGTAAGATGAAGTGCTTGGTGTTGATCCCGTCAGTAGCTCTAACTTATATTGAATCAAAATCAAGTTATTCACAAGATTACACAACACTTTAACATCCAATTCCCTAGAAATATTAATTTCTTTAACATTAAAAACAATTTCGTAGGGTAACTTACTGAATATTTAAGAAACAAAGTAGTTAGATGAATCGTCTTCACCCAAAGCTTGAAGACAACACAAATTTTGTCAAAGCCTCGCCTTAGTGATACTCTAGCACTGGCTGTGATAGGTGGCTTATCCATGTAGGCACAGTAATGAGAATTGACTATTACCTGTTTGTTAGAATACCTGTCTTTCAACAAGTTAATAGCAGTCACAATTCAGTTCGGTAATGAGTACAGGTGAAGTCCAGTGATACAACGTTTGGCGTCACCCTTTAATTGGACCACTAAATAGTTTAACTTATTAACTTTGACTATGAATGGCAGACTCAAAGCTATCCCAAAACTCCTGCCACCGTAGCATATCCCTTTGGAAAGTTGTAAAACAAACTCCGGAGGTTGAATTGTACTGGTTTTGTACGGATGGAAGTAGCTGAACGGATGACATCAGGCTCTGTCGGCTGTGGGTTATTAGTTTGGGAAATATCTAGTCTTACCGTAAGTTGGTAGGATTTCCTCGAAGTCCATAATAATAGTTATGAAGTTATCCTTTGTGGAGGGTCCTTTCCATTGGTTCATCTTCAGTTTTTGGGTTGGTGTCCAGTTGTTCTTGAATTTCTTCCACCTTCTTTACAAAGCTAGTACAAGTCTGTATTCGAGTTTGAAGTTGTAGCTCTGCGAAGTCTGTGGTCTCCAAGATCTCTGTGGTTTTTATAATAGTTATCTGTGTCGTCAGTCACAGTAAGGCAGTTTTCAATCGAAGGTATCATCTTGAAGTCATTCTTGGTTGATTGTTTGGTCGTAGAAGTAAAGCCAAAATTAATAGTTAAATAAAAGAAAAAATTGAAAAGTGTAAGCAGGAAACCAAGCTCTTACCATGTCGTGAAAAAGGATTAGCTGTTGGTATTTGGTTTACCTGCCATACCTTTAGTTGTAAGTTAATAGAGCTAAAAGTTTAATAAAAGAAGAGTCAAAGTTTTGTATCAACATAACACTTAATCATAAACTCTTCATAAAATTTACAATGTTAAAACCATTTCCTTGGTAACCAAAACTAAACAAAACAAAATGCAAACCACAGCTGTCCAAAGGCATCATTGCAGTAGCAACAGCTTCCTTGCTTGGATACAACTATCAATGAATGTAAACCTTATAAGAAGCGGAATGCTTTTGGGGGGAAGTCAGACTGGATTTTGCCGCTGAAAAAAACTTTGTGCAGCCACCACTAGGTAAGCGCTACCCTCGTTCTCTCTCCCTACGCCAATTCTTTGTCTCACTCACACTGCTGTGGTCCCATTGACACCGCCGAGCGCAAGCAGTAGTGGCAATTTTCTTACCTAGCGGCAAATACTTATCACAATTGAAAAATTCCAGCCTGAATTTTTAACAGGGGCATTTCTCTTATAAGGTTTGTATACATTGCTACAATTTTTATATCAGACATCTTAGAAATCCAACCAGTATATTAAATAAATAGTGGCCTATTAGCAAGTGGCATTAAAATGCTCTACCTGTTATACAGTATATACAATGAGGTGGTTGATTTGTTTTGTAGAAAATCGTGTTGTGTTTTGTTGGACCAATTTTTGTGGTGTCGCTTATCATCTACAATTTTGCCGTAATGGATGCTGGTTTTCAATTTTATGAGTAGCTTCTTGGCACTTCTCAAAAAAAGACAAAAATTATTCAATTCTGTTTCAAATCAACAGCACCCTCAGAGAAATATGCTTGTAGGATCATAGAATACTACACTCTCAAGAATTTATAAAATATGTATAAAAATGTATCAACAGAGACCAGTACATTTGTCCGCATAATCCTTGACAATTCTAATCTTGCACAAGAGACTAATATGGATCTAGATTGCAAATTGTTGTGTAAAGAATAAACCATAATTATTGCAAAATATCAGCAGTCATAAACTCTTACTTTGAGCAGAAATAGACTCATTTAAGGGAAGTATTGTGTGTACATGTTGTATCATTGACTATTAAATACTGAAGTTGACATTCCATCTATTCAGGCCCAATGTTGCCATTTTTTATTAATATAAGAACACAGTTTAGTGAGTCGGTCACAAAATGTGTAGAAAAGCAGGTGACAGTGCAAAAACTTTGCAAGCTGATAATTACTTTTCCTACAGTTACCTAACAATGTACATGTTCTCTCACTGATTTGAGAAAGCAAAGTGGCCAATTCGCTCATCAGTGAGACAATGTTAACATTGTCTCACTCTAATTACTTTGTCTCACTCCAGATTTGCAACGTGAAGGCACGAAATAGTGAGCGCGTAACATGCAGGCAACGTCGTATGCGCGCGAAATACGTTGGCAGCACTGGCTGTAAATCAGCTGGTCAGCTGTTGTACTGTTGTATTTGTCACTTTACATTAAATGTTATATTAAAAGTTCACTTCTGTGTAAAAATAGGTTATGTTTCTTCACAAATTTATTTGTTTTATGGTAACTGTAGGAAAAGTATAATGTGCAACTCGAGTTCAAAGTACAATTGCCTCACTCGAGAAACCATTCCTCACTCGCCTACGGCTCGTGAGTAAGGATTTCTCTTGAGTGAGTCAATTGCTCACTTTTCTCACTAGTTGCACAAATAACTATTGTTGCTGTGAGCGATACAATGTTAGCACTATGTGTAGCACTAAGAATGTTAAACCTTTCATTTGTTCAAAATAGGCACTTCTATTAATATTTTTCAGTCCAAACATTTCTTGATTACCTGAAGTTAATGTAAAAAGTATGATTGCAGATGCGACAGCTTCGCCGTGGGCTGCTCTGAGGAACTCGCCGGAGATGCGAGCCTACAGCAGCATGCCTCGACAGAAAGATTTCGAGTTCATCGCCCGCACCGCCTTCACCAACCAACTCAACAAGTCCGAGCCAAACGAACAACACGATCAACTGGAACCCAAAACAGACTCCGACAAAGAGAATGTTTCTGATGCAGAAACGTCTGCTGAAAAAGAAAATGTGGATGAAAATGTTGTTGAAGAAATTATTGAGGGAAGTGTGATCCCCTTGACATTTACCGACAATGAATCCAGCATCGGAAGTCCAGTGGTACACAAGCGTACGTTTAGTGAGAGCACTTCGGTAGACCAGTCCTCAATCGGCAGTCCGATCATCGAGAACCGATGCTTCCATGACAGCCCTGCCGCCTCCTCCGGTGAGAGCCCCCTGGTGGAGAAGAGGGTCATTGAACCCATAACTGGCACTGTGTTTCGCAAAGTCACACTCAAAAAGCGTCGAGTGGACACCCGTCATTTACCACCTGGTGAGTTGGATTGTTTTTCATTTTTAGATAAGTAAGGTACAGAGGAAACTTCTTTATATTGTGACCGTGCGCTTTCAACTCTAGTATTTTGTGCCCAGTGAGCACTAGGTGAAAATTCCTATCGCACAGGGCACAGGGTCTTCCTCCACCGTGAGTGTTGTAGTACATGTCGAACTTTTCCCTAGTGCTAGACACCATTTAAGTATACCATTGAATGCTTCCTCTGTACCTTCCTCATCTGTGGTTGTGTTGTACATATGGGTGCTTGGGAACTTTAATAGTGTTATGGTATAGTACTGTTTGCATGGGTGATGGTTTAATCCTTTGTCACTTTCTACCTTGTACTGGTATACTTCTTGATTTTCATATTCTCAGCATATTTATGTTTGTTACATTAACTGTAAGTGTATTAGGTGGAAAATATTTAGAAATGTTTAGGGTTGACATGCAAACAATTCTCTAAACACACTATAAATAGTAAAATACATATTTTTCCTAGAGAACTAATTCAAATACAGTAGCCCTTAAGAACATTTGGGGTGTGTTAATAGCCTAGTGGCCAGCATCTCAGGTCACTATTTTTATCAACTGCTTACTAGATTGCAATAATCACAATACAGTATTCCCAAGCAGGGCCGGTTCTAGGAATTTTTCAGAGTTAAGCGAACACCCGAATCAGCGCCACTTAGGATTCCCCCCCCCACCCCCCCCCCAAACCATTAACACAACCGTATTTGTGAAATTTTCCCAATAATTTTGGGAACATCTTTTTTAGAAGTTTAAGTTAGAAGAATACTTGCAATATAAGATTGTTTATTATTCGCAGAAATTTAAAATTTTTACACTTTTACTCATCATATAAACTAAACTTTATCAAAACCAAGGCCACACTAAAAAAAACAGGCCGTCATGTTCGTCAAGCATGACGTCACGATAGAAGACGGCAATGACGTAATGTTTGCCGTTTGTGATCAGCTGCTTGTTTTAATCTTTCTTTGGGAAATACATAAATAAATACCTACGTCATTGCCGTCTTCTATCGTGACTTCTTTGGGCTGACTGGACTCGCCACCAGATGATTTAAACAAAAATCTACCTACACATTGATTTGGCTTGTTTTTTATCTTCCTGTTCCAAATTCGCCTTACGATTTCTATAATAAGTGCCAGACCTTTTATTTTTTTCTGCCATTGTTTTCTTAGTATCGGCTCGCAAGATGTTTTACTCATTTATTCAGTTTATACTTTCTTCTTATTTAATGCGCTAATTATAAATTAAACTTAAAACACTAATTCACTTATCAACAATCATGAATCATCAAAACAACGCCAATACGATACCGATACGTATAAAACTAAAAGAGTGCAATAAAACGTAATGCTCTGCTCTAGGACAAGAGAAAGAAGGGAGGGAAGGGAGGGGAAAGTTATCTGTTGTGACAAGTGGTGTTGTTTTTATATATCTATGGTGGCGCTGCGCGCTTGCTTATCTCTTCTAGTTAGTATGAGTGAGTCGTGAAATGAAACCCACCGGCGCCGCGCCGTACGCTGCCAAGCGTCAGCTCACTACAAATCGAAACTGCAAATGGCATTGAGTCCTTGAGTTGTAGTGCTAGTGCTGTACAAATATACACATTTTTCAAGTGCTGTTGGTACAAACAGAATAAATGCCTTTTATTGTGGTATACTTGGACTCTGAGCGAAAATAAACAAAATTACAATGTTCACGTAAAAAAAGTTGTCCCGTTGGCGCCACGGCGCCATATGCGCCATATGCGCTTTTCCGTGGCGCCATATGCGGCCGCGTAGTTCGCGTATGGGTTAAACCGGCCCTGTTCCCAAGCTTGCTAAATGTAAAGATAAATAATAACACAAAACATAAACGTAATACAAAACATATAACGATATAATATCAATTGGCAGTAGGGAATTGAGAGAGCAACTTCTCATTTTTGCTTATTCTTAGTAATTAGTTGATATAAAGAATGTCTAATAATCTGTGAGGCTAGTCATAAAACTTTGTAGTTAAAGTACAAAGTTTCAAATGTATGAAAATTGTAGTGTATCAGTAACTCCTGAAAACATGTGAGTGAAACGGGAATCAAAGTTTCAGTGTTGTTTAATAGTGGTCTAAGAATTGATTCAATGTGTGGGTATTTGTAAGGCAATGGTGGAAATGGCTAACCTGGAAACGATATTTGTAAAGCAATACAAAATATTGATACAAAATATTGATTAAAAACTACAATAAGTACACAAGTTTGCCAATTGCACAGTAAAATAATTGATTTCAACATTCTAAGACGTAACTAAAAAGTCTTAATTATTATAGGTAACGTTATCCCTGGTTTTATATAGTACAGTAGAGTCCCGCAAACTCTGCGTAATGCGGACTGGAAGGGTGCAGGGTTATCGGGAGCTGAAGTTAAAAATAAGAACAATACAATTTGTAAAAAAAATTCATTGTGTAGCCCCTGAACTGTTGATTAGACTAAAATTTAAGGCACATACCTTCAAGTCCACAGTTCATAGATGTATGGTCAAACCCACTACATGTTTCGCCTATACATAGGCATTGTCAAGTGGTCCTTCAAGAACGTTTCGTCCATTGTAGACTCGTCAAAAAACATTTAAATAAATACACAAAACACGATACATTGTACGAAACATTTAACACTTAGTAGGCCTACTATTTACCGGTCGCGGTACGGAGGCGGACTGGCTGGACTTATGTAACCCCGACCCCTTCTCCGTTATCAGTCGTACTGCAAAGGTCAAACTGTTCCTGTCTATTGTTGTGAGCTATTATGGCGTTAAAAATAGAATGGGATTTGAAGTTTAGCTGGTCATTTAAAATATGGTTTTTATTGTGGATGTCTTGGAAACTTTTATAGATTTCAAATTGTTCTAGAGAGTCTTCTAATTTGTTACCTTTGTTACAAATGTGAAGGATTTCCAGGCTATTGTCAATTACATCCACGGTGTGATTGTTATCCAATAAATGTTGGGCAAAAGTGGATTTTTGTTTGTCTGCTCTGGGGTCGGGGCGATGTTCTTTGTGCCGTTGGGTGAAGGTCCTGCCAGTTTGTCCGATATAAAAATCAGGACAATCCATGCATTTTAGTTTGTAGACCCCAGACTTGTCAAGCTTATTTTTATCAGTAATTTTATTTGACAGAGATTTTATTGTCTTATTTGTGGTCCTGAAGTTAAATTGAAGCCCATGTTTCTTTAAAACTTTGTTGAGCCCATTGTGAGCTATGTGGCTGTACTCTATACAAATGTATTTCTTCTCAGGTTCATCTGATACGGGTTCATTTGGTTTGTTCTTGAATTTCGTTACTATTTTATCTACGATGCTCGGTTTGTATCCATTGGAGATAGCAATATTTTTAATTATGTTCAGTTCTTTGTTGTAATTGTCAGGTAAAAGCGGAAATTTGAGTAGCCTGTAGACTAGGCTATTGTAGGCGGCAAGTTTTTGAGAAATAGGATGGTATGACGTGGCGTGTATTGTTTGGCTTGAAGTCGTGGGTTTTCTATAAATACTGAAGTTTAGTTTACTATTATCCTTCTCAATAGTCATATCTATAAAATTGATCTTATTATTGAATTCTGTTTCTATCGTAAACTGTAGTTTGGGTGCGATGTTGTTTAGGTAGTTTAATAATAAGTTCAGTTGTCGAGTATTGCCATTAAACAACATAATGGTGTCATCGACATAACGGTTGTAAAGGGTGATCCTGTTTCTGTATTTATTTGATTCGGAGAAAATGAATTTGTTTTCTATGTGATTAAGATAAATACCAGATAGTATTCCAGATAATGGGGAACCCATCGCAAGACCATCAGGTTGGGAGTAAAAATTGCCATTGAAAGTAAAATAGTTTTGTCTTAATACCTCCGTTAGCAGCGCCATTATTTCATCAGGAGATTCCGATAACATTGTTGGGCTATTGGTTAGATGTAGTTTTACTATCTCCAGTACCAGGGGTGCCCATCCCCCCCAAAGCTCATGTCGCAGAATCCCCCCCCCCCAAATTCATTGTTTAACCCATGCCGGAAGGTCTGGCGGCTAACCCATAGTTATGTTTATAATGCGGGGAGGGAAGGGGTGCCCCCGACACTTCTTTAAATTTATGGGAATTTAAGCGTTTGAATCAAACTTTTAACCAAATTTAAATGGACAATTCTCCTTTAAAACACTAGTAGCAAACTATTTGTTAGTTTAGTTTTAATTTAAATGAGTTGGATTTTTAACATGCACACAATTTGAATCAACATTGGCCATGTAGTTTTTTTAATCCGATTTTCCATAAGTTATAGGTTTTAAAAGGGAAAATCACAAAAGTTGCAATAACTTTTGAACCATAATTTTTACGGCATAGAGGGTTTATACATTTTTTGTTATGACAAAAAAATGTATACTCTTTGACTATGGTCAAAGAGTATAACATGTTAATTTTTAATCAAAATCGTTCGGGCCAATTCTGAGAAAATTTTATTCATTCATTATTTTATAGGGTTTTATTGAATATCACTATTAAAAATCCAAAATGAAAAAAAACATCTGGAGAGACCATGGATTGGTACCTAAAATACCAAATTTCATCAAAATCGGACTCGGACCACAGGCGTGGTCTGTAGCTCTGTACCATACATACACACATACACACACACAGACAGACACACACATCACTTCGAAAACCACTTTTTTGGGATCAGGGTTTTTAAATAAACAATTCTTTTACCATATTAAATTGTAGGGGAGAGAGTACTTAAAGGTATGTCAACAAGTTTGAGATATTTTCTAAATTGCCCTTTAATCCACTTCTGAGTTTGGTCCTTTTTAAATAAGTGTAAAATATTCAGTCTCAAAATATTACTAGGCCTAAACTTAATAATATATTTCGTGCCTAGGGCCAAAATGAGGTTTTGCTGGTTTGAGGTAGTTTTTAAGTTCGATACGAGGTCGAGGACTTAAAACGATCGAGAACTGCA